AAACCACACGGCTAATAGGCACTTCCTAAATGTTTGCCTTTTGATGCGTGTTGAATAGATTTCGAAAACGAAATATAAAAGTTGCTTCAACTCAAAAAATTAATTTGATTAGTCAAATAATAGTATGCTCAATAAATAATCATACAAAAACATATGCAAAAATTACGATTTGTCAAATTTTCGTTATGAATTAAAAGTATTCTCCTGTCACACGAAAATAATAACTAATTAACATAGGATGAGATCCCCGGCGTTTGAACTCGGAAATAAAAAAATTATCAACGAATTTAGTGCATGTTTGCACAAAATAGTCTGACAAAAAGCACGTTCACAACACTCATACTAAATCTGCGCCACTAAAATTCCAGAAATAGGAAATCAATAAAGTCGTTCACACTTCTAAAGCATAAAAAGGAAATTTTGAGCAACTTAGATGGAAATATTAACGCCTTATACCTTAGTATGGAAAGGGCCTGTACGGCTTGGAATGATGGGATCCATATGTGACCCACACATGAATAAAGATAATATCTGATTCAGTTTAAACCCCAAAAAGTTTCCTGATAATTATCGCGAGTTAAAGCGTACTGTGGTTAGTCTATGGGGATTATTAAAACCATGAATAATGAATGCAACGTTTGGGGAAGTTGTTTTTCTGCCTCCTGCCTTAAATTAATCTTGCTGGTAAACAAGGATGCAGACCCAGCCGGGGAGATTTTAATATTAATGAGTTTGGTTTATACACATAAACGAGATGTTACGAGGAAAATTTGAATACTGTACTACAATGTATTTTGACGAAAATCTGGACCTTGAAGCAATTAAGGTTTATGAAATTATGGGACGCATTAAAACAAAGGGCCAATTAGTATCCTATTATATATAAATAAAACAATTTATCGGTAGCTTATTACTGAGATGAGCTCACAAATATGCAAACGGTACGATTTACAAATCAAAGGTTTGGATGAAGCGGACATGTCAATGAGCGTTAGTGATGTAATTAAAAGTATTACCACAAGCCCACTCATCATAATACGAAGCACTTATGACGATTCTGTTAATAATAACTCTAGGTATTACAAAGAAGCTAACCATCTAACGAAAAATATGTCGTGATAACTCTTTTTTTTGTAATAATTCTATTTTACTGAAAGCAATGATTTAAAAAGTGATTGGGTAAGAAATATCAAGTTAAAATTACAAAGCCATTATTTGAATGGTTATATTAATTTCACCTTTTTGGGGAAATTCGAAACAGCCTTATGCACAAAAGAAATAGATAATAAAATACTAAAAGCCGAATTAGATGTCTAATCAGCACACATACAAAAAAAATAATGACTTGAAATATTATGAATACTGTATTTCAATTAAACATGTGACACAATATACAATGTGCACTAGTAGCACACAAATTCAAGGTTTATACTTGTATCATCCTCCATGAACTCATACCCAAATGTCGTAAATATCTGATAGAAAATTTTCATTTCATTTTAAATTATCGGTATATACATTAATATACATACCGTTATATTAAAAAAATATTTAGAAAATGATATCGAAATATTCCCTTCTCATTATGACACTGGAATTGAAAAATTTGATATATACCCTAAATTAAAATCTTTATGCTATTAATTGTAGAAGATAACAGCTTTATCCAAAAGAAGTCAGGAACTAGACTTGAACATAGAAAAATGAGGCTTAGTTGATATTTGATCATAAGGATTGATTTCCTTCCAAATAACTCACCAGTCCGGAGATGCTGACTAAATTAATCGTTAATTAGCTCTTGCTGAAGTGCTTGCTTGTCTATAGCCTTGTTCAGAGTGTAGGCATGAAAAAACAAAATAAAAATGACATTTATGACAAACTATGTTAAACAATTCACAAGCAATACAATATTTAATATATGTATTTATTATCGGCAACGCATGCAAAGTTACCCTGAAATTTATAAATGTGACCAAACAATTTGAGCCCAATATGACAACATGCTCACCACACATCCCAACACCCCAATTTTTTTTTGTGATCAATATGTTTTGAAAATGAAGGATACTATTACCAATCTGTATATTTCAAAAGTATTTAATCACATGTCACTATTCCAAAATACGGTAATATTACAAACTACAATATCAAAGAACGATCTAGATGACAGCGTAACTAAGCTACCTCGTGCCGTGCCGTTATCAAAGTTCCTGATATCTGTGTGAACATTTTGTTTTGGTTCTAAACATTCACACACATTGTAGTTCTGTAGTTTGTTAAAAAATGGTTTAATATCAGTATCATTAGTTTATTTTTACACATGGTGAAAATACACATTGTACAAACAGAATAAAGGAAAATAAAAAAAATGCATTTCAGTGTGAATTAAGACGCGATAAAACCTAGTAATCTCAGTTTATTTTAGTGAAGCTGAGATTTGAAACAATATTAGTACCTGTACTGGTTAGAATTCCACATAAACACTCACCAATAATCGGACAAGTAGTCATACATTAGAAACATAAGGAGTAAACAAATAGCTTCATGGGAAGCATTCGATGACTGAAGTTATGAATTCGGCACAGCACAAAAGGGCCCATTCAGCCATTGGGTATATTTTAGTGTCATCCCACCATCTAGTTCTATGCAGTATGATTCCTGATGTGATCTACCACTTGAAATCATTGAAATATGACTTATTATCAGGACAATTCTCAATTTAATATTCTAAAAAATGATTGCTGAAGCGACAATTTTTTTTTTACGTGTTTGACGGATTAGATTGAAGGGATACCGGTATCACACTGAAGTCTGGAAGTTGAGCTAATGTTAATCCCAATAATTCATTATTATTTAATATGTCTGTTACATCAAAAATTATGCATTTCATCATTTACAGATTTATCCTATACGGTATCAATATAAACTTTGTGTCCAATCAGCTTCAGTATGATTATACTCCAACCTATTCTGTAGGCTATTACAGTACCAAGAAAACGTGTACTGGTACGGTACCGGTAATTCAGTAATAGCAGTAACGGTATTATTTAAAGTAAAGAATTATTCTTGCCTCACCATGCCATGCCTTCTTGTCTTACCATGCTTTAGCCTAGTGATCTGTGATATCACTAGCGGGAATTGAATATTATCAGATCCCTAATTATGCACATATAGGCCTAGGTAACAAAATCGGCGAGGTCTGTATGGTACGTAGGTTGTGAACGTACCTGTAACAACTTACACACGTCAGGGCGTACCGTACCGTCATGACCGTAAAAATTTCAATGCTCGTCTGCACCGTACAGGTACGGATACATAACAACGTCGGCAACGTACAGCGAAACAATAACAGTACGACATTACTACAGCTTTCATATTAGCAACGGCCACGGCAGCCGCAACTAATCACGTCAAAACCACTCGATCATAGAAACAAGAGAAACGAAACAAAACAAAACAACAAACCACTTGTCAATATATCGGAGCGCAGCCCTCCGTTCCCAACCACGACGTCACAAACTCAACTGACGTCATAGCAACCAGTCAACTGAAATAGACTCGAATCAGGCAAATCGATAACTTTTTAATACCTTGTCGCTATTTTCTTTCAGTCAGTCCCCACAACTCACACTTCCTGCTATCTACTCACTAAAAAATGTAATGCGGGGGTTATACGTCATATGTCAAGCATAAAAATTTAAAAAACAAAACTTTTTATGCTTTATTTTTGTAATATAATCCGTTTAAACGTCGAATATTATTGTTTACAAGTTTTTGATTCAATAATCTGGCAACTATATTTCTCAATGTAAAAACCAAGCCTCAAGTCAAATTAACTTCGTCACTGTTATGGTCCGGCTACAGGCAACAGAGAGAGAATTGATTGCAAACTAAAAAAACAAAAACATGCATATGAACAAAATTGGTACTGTAGTAGCCGCCGCGAAGAAATCCTCTGGCTTCTAAATACATTTTGGCAGAAAAGGGGGATACAGGTTGTCGATGCCGGTAGACGGTACGGTACCGCCGTACCGGTACCGTAGTCTACTGGTACCGGTACTGTACCGTAACTTATGGCAGTACCGGTATGGTGAAATTGCAATTTTCATTGGCTGGCAGATACAGAGTTAGGCTAGTACGGTACCGGTATCGGTACCCCCTGGCGTATCCGTGTTTTCTCTTCTTTTAGGATATCAGTACCGGTACCGGTACTGTCTGAACTTGTGCTTAGTTCTGTTGCCTAGTTAAAGGTGAAACTTGAATAAACTGTTTTGGAAAAAAAGGGAATGACTTGCTGCACATTTTGGATTTTTAATCTTGTAGGGTACGGTAACTTTTAATTGAAATACGGTACTAACGTTAAGTCGTTAGACTACTAGCCTAGTCCAGTGGTTCTCAACCTTTTTTTAAGCGACCCAAATTTTTCAAAAAATTGATTTTGCGGTCTTACTACTTACCGGTACTGAATATACTGAGTATTCAGTAAGTAGTAAGACCCTTGATTTTGTAGAATCTCGCGACCAAAGGATATTGGTACTTAACATTTTTTCTCCAGTGATTATTTTAAAGTGAGAAAACTGCATGTGTTTGCCATTAGCGAGTTTTTAAAATCGACGCGCAGACGCGTGGCTTTGTGCTTTACTGAAGCAAAATAAATGCTGACAAGTTTTTTACGCGGTAATATTCCTCACGCATGCAATTACTTTTGAACAACAGACCAATACTAAATATGAAATTTACTATAAGATACAATTAGTAACTTTTAGTTTTTTATTAAAATAAGCAAGTGACTCAAACAAAATCATTGTTCATCCTCTTACCCCATTATAAACTGCTCAAATATGCCTTAATTGAACCATTTATAGGTTTAACCTTAATGGGTATTGAAAAAATAAAATTAGTTTTTTCCAATTAATTAGAATTTTTCATATTACAACTCATACTGCAAACCTGTATTTTTATCTTTTCGCCCATTTTAATTTGCCAGATGTCAAGTACTTGTATCACTAGTACCTATATAGAATATTGCGAAAAGGCGATAGCCTATACAATATGTGTCAGTGTGTGGAGTTCATATTAAGATGAGTTTATTGCAAACTTGTGTCTTGTTCACTATTAACACAGTAATGTAATTATTTGGTTTAGTCTCATTGTTAATTTCGCTTCGACCATCTTGTGAACGGAATGACTTTTTGTTTTAAATACATTCTATACTGGTAATGCCGTATTCTGTTTTCACTTTCAATACTATCACTTAATTTCATCTTCACACATTATCATACTAAGAAATTGGATTGGCCTTTCATTGTGTACCAATATGATATGAATATGATAGATTAGTTTGCCATTACATTATATTTTTATCGTTCATCTTGGGAATGAATTATATTAAATTCTACTTTTTTGTAATTATTGATATTTTGTAGCATGAATATATGTGCTAACCCTATCTGCTTCAATTTAATAGTGAATTGTAAAAAAATAACCGTTAGACATCATGGCTGGTAGATCTGGAAGCTTCTCACCCGCTACTCCAAGTGAAACATCTTCTTCTGACAACAACAGCATTGAAAAGAGTAGGAAACCTGACAATACGGCTTTCAAACAGCAGCGTCTACCTGCTTGGCAACCGATTCTGACAGCACAGTCTGTTCTTCCTGCGTTTTTCGTAATATCAGTAATCTTCATTCCACTTGGTGTGGCCTTACTTCTCGCTTCAAATGAGGTCATAGAGTTTTCAACAGATTACACAAACTGTGGAAATAACGAGTGTGCTGAATTAAGGAACAATGCTTCAAAAATGACGATACCTTGTTCGTGCAATGTCACTCTAAATGTCACTAAACATATGCAAACAGAAGTGTATGTTTACTATGGCCTTACCAACTTCTTTCAAAATCATAGACGATATGTCAAATCTCGAGATGATGCACAGCTGAATGGCCAAAGTGTAGAAAATTCTCTCAGCAATGATTGTTCACCCTATAGGAATGTCAATAACACTTCTTCATCACCTCCAATTGCACCTTGTGGAGCTATTGCCAACAGTTTATTTAATGATACATTCAACTTTACCCTCGAAGGTGTGACTACTCCAGTGGGGATAAACCTCACAGGCATAGCCTGGCCCACAGACAAAGGTCAGAAGTTCAATAATCCAGGAGATCCAAATCTATCAATTTCACAACGCTTCAATGGCTATGCAAAACCTGACTTCTGGCAGAAAGCAGTATATGAGCTTGATACTAATAATCCATCCAATAATGGATTTGAAAATGAAGGCCTAATTGTATGGATGCGAACTGCAGCTTTCCCTACTTTCAGAAAACCCTATGGGCGAATTGTTGATGGATTACCAAAAGGAGTCTACACTATACAGATCGATTACAATTTCCCAGTCCAGTCATTTGACGGCACAAAACGTATCATCGTAAGCACAACCAGTTGGATCGGAGGCAAGAATAATTTTCTGGGGATTGCCTACATTGTAGTAGGATCGTTGTGCTTCGCAGTCGGCATTGCTTTATGCATAGTTCATCAAATAACCAAGAAAACAACAACTGGACCTCGATGATCTGTAAACATCTACATGCACAAGCAAAATTTTATTTACTCTTGATTTACGTTTCATGCAACCAGCTTTACTACTAAGATTTTGACAATTACTTGATGGGTAGGCTCTGCATAATTGAGATAATTAATTTCTGATAGTGGGATATCTATTAAAATAATATTATGTCAAGATTTAAAGTTATATATATATTCAGTTTTGACATTGTCTTGTTTCCAAATTATTTGTCACCTATAGATGGCAGGTATGGTGAACCACTGGTCCGCAGTTTTATTTTTCAATGAACTGTTATGTCTCTGATTGTTGGCGTTGCAAAAAACATTCTAACATTCCAGTGATAAAATCATCAATGAAAATTTGTAATACGCTAACATAAATGAACAGTTATAAAATGCAGCTCATGAAAATAATGCTGTTTCGGCTTTAGGACACAGGAAGAAGGAAGTTCACCATCCCTGCTATATAGTGTAAAACTTTCTTATACATATTATCGGTTGAAAGAACTAACGTGTTTCCTGGGTCAGCAATAATACTTATTAAATGTGTTTTCATGTTCTCTTTCCTGTTGTAAATAACTACGGTAAATGTAGTTGGTTTGCAACGGTCTTAACGATACTTATGATTTATATACATATATTTACTATGCTTCAATTTGTTTTGCTAATTATTCTTTAATTAAATGTTCACTGTCAGTTTGTTTGCTGTGCAATCTATGTCGCAGGGTTGCCATTTTCAAGTATATATGGAATTTCTTTTGTCTCAAATCCAAAATGATCAGAAATATATTAACATGACGTTATGTATGAGAATGGTAACTCTCTCCAGATGCTTTGTTTAATTTGGGTACTCCCGAAGTAAGTGTACCAGATTAGGTGATAATTTCATTCAGATTTTTCTTATTTCTGTTCGATTACGAGTTCATGGACTTTCTGTGATAGCCAATTGAATATCCCCCTGCCCATAGGTTTCAGTCCCCTAACACAACCTGATGTCAAATGGACGAACAAAAATAGTTACCCCCATATTAGTACGCATACTGTGTGCCCAAATTTGTTTCCCTGTTGTTATCACGGCTGGGGCGCTGGCTTGAAATTGTAATGGCTCCTTCTGCAGCTCTGAAGCCACATTATGTTCAAACTCCGGAATCTCTTTTGTCCTAAATCCAAAATGCTCAGAAATATAGTAACATGGCAAGTTTTGCCTTTGGAAATGATAACACTCTCCAGATGCATTGTTTAATTTTTGACACAAATTTGTTTGCTTGTTGTTATCACGGCTGGCTTGAAATTGTAATACCTTGCAGCTGCACTCCCGCCCCATGGTCATTTGTGTTTTTGGTATGGCCACTCCTGGAACACTAGTCCCAAATAACACTTTCATGTCAGCTCAAGACCATGATACAAGTTTCAAAAAAACTGTAAAGCTATTTTAAGAAATTGGATATTAAAAAAATACAAGCTGGATAAGGATTTTATTTGTGTGATGTATGAAAAATTAGAGAGATCCACTAAAATTTCTAGTAGCTTCAGCTCCTGCTACATACTTGTGCGGTTTTTGAACAATTTTCTGCTAGAATGTTGACAAAACTGAAGCAAATTTGCCATTCCAGTGAAAGCTCTGCAAACTTTTTTATTAGTCTTATAATTTTTTTCGTAATATATATAAAGCGTGTGTAACATTATCGTAGAAAGCATAGTGCTTTGTTTTTAATAAAATTTATGTGCACCTTTCATCAGGATTGTGCTTTGTTACCAAGTTCAGCTGACAATGGGGAAAAAAACATGGTGGTCAGCTCTCACGTACCTATTCATCCACTCCAGTGTCCATCCTGGAATGATCTTTGATACATATTCCTGCCTAGTCCACAAATAAATATCTTCCTAAATGTAGCGCTATGATAGTCAGTAATTAAGGTGGAACAAAACAACTCAGTCTTAGACTTAGACAATCTTGCACGTAGTCCAGCAAACTATTTTCACATGTTCATATATATATATCATAGGATTAGATTTTGTGAACCCACTCATAATTTTAAGCAATGCGATGTTGTCTTGTACCCAGCACAATGCTACAATGAATTTGTATTTCCAAAATTAACACACATTTTAATTAACGAATTATGACAACACCATTAATAAAATGAGAGCATGGACAAGAACGAATTTATCAAGAAAGGATACTTACGGTATGCATATTACAGTAATAATATAATTAAAAGAATGTTAAAATTTAAGCAATAGAATCTCAAACTATCGATTTTGGATTTACCATGCGAGTTATGGTTTATAATTTATATGAACATGGGTCGGTAAGTAAATTTTTTAACTTGAATTCAGAAGTAGGATATTTTGGTCAACCACGAGTTTTAAGTCATTTATTTTATGAAAAGCTAGAGTGTTATGAAAAGTTTCAAATTCCCTGCTGCAATAACAGCAAAAAAAAACATGATAAAGTTTAGATAAATACACGATACAGAAATAGTTCATAAACTAATTTTTTCTGACGGGTATAATACCCTATTCAATCCAATATTTAAGTTCAATTTCTTAGGCTATCATGGTCTTCACCAGTTACTCGAGGCTTGCCTTTGTAGTAGGTGTTTCAATTTATATCGATTGCGCTGCAGCGTCGTTGTGCTTTAACATAGTACGGTTATATATATCAAGAGTCTAGACTAATTTGAAATTGAAATAGTGATGAAAACAAGTTCAGACAGAGATCAAAAATGTTGCTGCAAATTGCCCATCAGATGTAGTGAAAAAACACAAGTGAAGTGCTATTCAACATAATTATATTTCTATTCCAAAACGAAGTCGATAAAATGGATGTTCATAATTTTTTTGTTCTCATGCACCATGATTAAAGTGGTTATTTATAGAATTAAAAACCGTGATAAAACCCAGGTAAATCAGGCAAATTTCCTATAAAGCTTGTTCAATTGTTCTAAAAATATAAATGTAAGCACAGTGTGTGGGCCAAGTCGAAAATAATAGGGTGTAAAACCCTTCCATAAACTGAAAATTCCTTCTGATCGTACAGTCCTTGTGAGAACATTCTGAAATATAAAAACATGTCGAATTTGTAAAGATTTTGACGATCTTGACAATTTCCTGCACAAAATATCAAAGCCTTTGCCACAAATGTATATTAACTAATTCAAAAATACATCTAGATCTCTGATATAATTATGTATGTATATATTTATAATCTTGAGAAACGGACTTGGCTGACTACTTGAAACATATGGTGGGTCCCAGTAGCAAATAGAGCCAATTTTCCTTTTTGGACATAGTTTAGTTTAAAACATTCCAAGTTTGAGAATATAAAATTACATTACTCAGTTTTCGCTTATGCTGTCCTCAATTGCATGACTTTTTCTCAAGTATTATTAAATAGAGGGTTATTATTAATAATTACTATTATTATTAAATAGGGTCCCAGCAGCAAATAGAGCCAATTTTCCTTTTTGTACATAGTTTAGTTTAAAACATTCCAAGTTTGAGAATATGAAATTACATTACTCAGTTTTCGCTTATGCTGCCCTGAATTGCATGACTTTTTCTCTAGTATTAATGAACTAGTTACACTACATCCCATTGAAAAGTGAACAAAAAGGCATGTCATGTGAATAGCTGCTGCAGTTAACATATGCTACTCTGCCATTGTTAGCAGTGTTCTGAGTTAACACATCAAGACCGACTGAATAGGATGAAAAAAAGCTTACGCCAGGTCAATGAAACTATGCACTGGTAAACATAATAGTAGTGCATATTTGTCTATATTATTGCTTACACTTAGTTACAGATTCAAGTTATTTAGGTACTAAAATACCACTTACAATGGCACCAGTATATTCAGGTTTTCCATCTATGGTCTTCATACTTTGTATTCTAGAGGTGAAAAAAAATATAAGAGTCATATAGAAAATATTCCTACTTGGAAAACCTATAACATAAGTGTGCCATGAAACTTTGCAAATTTCTTTGATGGTAACGAAAAGCATGTGAGTGAAGTTCAATGTTGGGGAGTCTTGAGTTTGGCTTTTTTAATGATACTGTATTCCTTTTAACTACATGCAATCAGGGGTGTCGTAGTCGAATATGAATTCTTTAAAATCGCAGCGGTTTGAAGAAATAATCAAGGTAAAAATTTCTAATAAAAGCATGAGTTGATTAATCATTCTCAACAAACAATTGAAAAATGATCGCATATACACCTTAGTTTTTGTGATCAAACTGAAGTCTGCGTCTTCTTCAATCCGGAATCAAAATTTTTTGTCAACCAAGAGTAGGAGCCAAAGTAGGTTTTAGAATGGCTCGGCTCAGAGTTTGGGTTCCAAATTCACAGCTATGCTAGAACCACCAGAACACATAAAAAATACTAACCTTGTTTTGGCAATATCGACAGGCATTGATGCGATTGTTGTAACAAGACCACTGATCATACTTGCAACAAAATGACACAAAATATTATCTCGGAAATGACCTGCAATAAAACAGTGAAAATGAAAAGAGGCAATCTTAAATTTGGGATAATTTGTGTCAAAAAGTTTGAACAAGGTCAAGAGAACTCAAGCAGTACAACATAAAATAAGAGATGTGTATTGGCTAAAAATTTAGAAGTCAACATGATATCACGAACAATGTCATAAGATGTACCGGTAAGTACAATACTGATCACATTGTACAGCTTCATTCAGAGTTTTAAATCTGGTCTTTCAGGAATATCAAATATAGTGCCCGGAGGCAAAGACACAATCATATTCATTAAATTTAATTCAACCAAAATATTAGTTCAGCGAATAGAATTTGTAGAAACAAATCTTGAGATGAAACCTCGTCCAAATGTCAGTGATAAAAGATATCCCAAAAATAATGACATTCACAAAAATACATTTTAAAGACTCAAAGAGAATTTGAATTCATGCCTTTACTGCGAAATTCACCATTTTTAACAGTGTAAAATGGGTCCAAAAAAAACATTGAAATTTATTGTAACACAGGATTAGAATGATGGCAGGGCAGAGCAGTCGGCGTTTGGCATGTTTTCACTGAATCACAAATTTTCACAGGGTTTAGGAACTTGTACCCGATACTGCTGTCAAGTCAAATTATCAAACTTACCAGAACCTAGGAGAACCTGTTTTGCTTGAGAATATGAAGCTAATTGTGCAGCATTGACAACAATAGCTCTTGATACAGTCGGTCCACATCCCTGTATACACAATTTGAATCACTAACTATATGGACTCTTGAATGCTAGTTATGAAATTATGTTGACGACTTTAATTAATTGAATCCCTTATAATAATGGAAGCAATTTTAGGTGATTATCAATCAATCCATATGTGATCAGTTGTAAGAAAAAGATCAATAAAATCAATAATAACATTAGGAATTGATTGTTGTATCAGATTAATACTGTAATGATATCATGCTCACCCTCCACAAAGTAAAAAGGCCCTCTTCTCTAATAATTCTTGATAATGCATTAAAAACACTAGTGTATCCCCTCTGTTCATTAATCGGTAACCTTCCATCCGAAGTCATTCTGATCAATGATATCTCAGCAGGTGTGCCAACAAACGCTCCTATTGCCCCAGCTGTCATTCCTGGACAAAGTTTTTTAACATATTGTAACATATTATTAACTACATTGGTGCAGCAACTGTTTCAATATTTCAATAATAGCTAGTATAAACTTCAGAAGATTATGAAAAATGTATAAAATCATAAAGTTGCAAACATGTTTTCAGTAAAACCTTCAATACCATTTACAATTTACAAAGACAAAATTTACATTTGTAATGGTGATGACATATGAATGAGCATATATTTTAACCAATAACTTGCATTGGGTATTGGTATGCAAGTACATATCTTACATTTGCTTTATTTTTTTTTCATTGAGATGTTGTAAGAATGAGGGATTACAACAAAAACTGCAGAGGAAGCATTGTCCAAAAATATAAATGAAATCACTTCTGGTTATTGAAGGTGTAATGGTTCATAACAAAGCCTTAATGTGCAAGGGCATTTATTTTAAAATATCTCTTTGATGTATATAAAGTAATACATACTAAGTACCCAAGGGAGACATTTAATAGGAGAGGAAAATCTTCAAACAAAGAGAATATTTTTATACCTAGTGCTGCTTTGGTAAAAAAGTTAGGCGGAGTTCCATCTTTCTTCGAAACTTTATCCATCAGCATTGTATAAACACCCAACCTTGTGGTAGTATATGTAGCTTGTCTCAACAGGCCAGCAGATAACCTGCCATAGACATCAATATTTATAAAGAGAATGTACCGGTAATATTAAAGATTACATATTTATTATTAACTGCAACAAATAAGACTTATCCTCTCTAAATATCTATTCTAGACTCTCTATCATACCCAGTGTATATTCCAACCACACCTTCACTTCTTAATATTGTAGAGATTGCTTGGAAGCTGTTCTTATACATTCTTTGACCTCCACCCTCACCACTCAGTTGCATGCGATTCTTCACAAGATCCAAAGGTTGAACAAACAAAGTTGCAGCCATTCTGTTGAGATGTAAATACTTAAAACTCGTATATCAACCAGTGTATTGAAAGGATTGCCCATTTTCATGCCATTGACAAAAAAATTGTCAAGTAAAAAAACTTCTATATAACTGCAATAGTCAGTTAATACAGTAGTACTTGAAGTAATCATGATGTTGGTAAGGCAGTAAGGACTGTAAGTTCATTTGCATTTGTAGAAAATATGCCTTGTGAGTTTATTCATTATTGATTGAGTATATAAGTATAAGTTTATTTCAACTCCATAATCAGCATAACAATAAAATGATTGATAAAAACAAATAAAAAAAACGGATTATGAACTCAGGAGAGCAAACAAAACCTTAGATAAGGTTTGAAACGTACAGAATATAAGATGGAAGGTGTTGCCAAAAAGAAGTGGTACATGCTAACTCACCTAAAAAAATTATTAAATTATATCACACACGCACCCACCACACACACACAATCACAGAGAAATTACCTAAAAAAACATGATAAGCTTATGATAAATTACATAGTAAACAAAAATAATAAAAAAAAAGGAAAAATATTTGCCACACCATATAATTTAGTAATAGATAGAATCGATAATCTAGTAATAGTTGCCACTGCCAAATCGATCAATTTTCTAATCGGGAGTGAACAGTAAAAATAAAGTTCTATTGAAAACATATTGCCAAGCTGATTATAGGCTAGATGGAGTTAAATCCCAAATTGCCCTACTGACTGTAGATACTGAGATATATCTTACAATAAGACTCCCAATTTCACCAATACCAGAATACTGCAATATGAAACAAGTCGGGAAATAAAGCAGACTAGAATGATTGCATATTCTAAATGCTGCATTACAAGTACTGAAGTACATGGTACTGCATACATCTGTACATACACAGACATTCAAATAAATACTGAAATAAAGCTTACCCTGATGTACCACCGAATAAGAACTTGAATCCATTAGGAATAACTTGTTGATTCGTTGAAGCCATGCTGCAGCATAAAGTGGTTTAACTTGCTAGCGGCAGTTGTCTAATAATGACAAGAGACAAGAAGTACGGAAATATCCGAATACGCAAACTGCTCTATCAAGATCAAGGGCGACAACGCTAACCTTACGCGTAAATCCAAAATCGAAGATGAACCAGAGTCGCAATACGTCACTACGTAGAAAAGAGCGAGATTAATTGACAAAAAGATTTAACAACTGCGCTCCATATGTTTCGCCAGAATAAAATAAATCGCTTATCATCATTACGCTGCGTGACCTTCGAAAATCGATTACCGTATGTTACTTTCTAATCTAATACAGTATATATTGGGCCGATCAGCAATTCTTAGTACCGTACGAGAACATCGACTTCGTTGGATTTGAGAAAGAGAGGTATGTTTAGAATATTATGGCAACAAGACATAAACTTTCGTGAACGAAATTGTAACAAGAAAATAGAAAATCTGCGACAAAAACCATCCTTAAAAAGGGCCGGGATAAGTGTTGGTTAGGAATAGGATAAAATTTACATATTTATCCCGGGGAGAGGACAGCCTATAAGAAGGCGTAATCATATGACGAAAACTACGGCCTCTCGTCCGTTACCAGTTCATGTCGGGTATGGGATTACTTATCCAGTTATTATTTTCAGATGCACGTACTTAGAAATGGACCTTTCCCCGACCTTTAACCCCCGAAAAATTCTTCCAATACTTTACCATTGCAAAATTTTCGGGGGTATTTAAAGAGTGCCTTTGCGAGTTGGCGCCTGTAAACTGGAGTATGTGTTTCAAACCATCATTATGATTCATTGCATACAACAATATGTTTTTTAAAAGTACCAGTAAAGAATTTTAGCTTAGTCTATCACAGCTATTTCTACATTAATTTTTTAATACTGCAATTAAATCAAAACTCCTAGGAAGACAGAGTGATCATTAAATTATCTGATTTATATTTAAGTTTCCGAAACACAACAGAAAACTAACGAATATAGTTCAAAAACGCGAAAACGAGGTAATGTTTACGACCACGCTTGAAAATCTGTCTGAGGGAGAAAAGTGTCTGAGCGGATGCGAAAAGGGAGGATTGTTACGTCACTTTTTGCATCTTGCTGATTGGCCAATGTCACGAAGTAAACAAGGAAGTCGATGCTCGGGGAAAGGTTCATAGGAATAGAGGAAGCCCTTACGTGAATCACCATGGGCTCTGGTACGACGGCAAGGAGTCCAGCAATCCTCTCGAACACAATCAATTATTATCCCCAACCGGGTTCGAACCCACTAACAGAGAAAGGGTAATCGGAGGTTTGGGGCGAGCGTATTCCTAACGCTTAGAACGATGCACCACACCACCGAGCTAAGGTTAATTCAGTATTCCATTTCTTTTTCAGTCGTGAGCTCAGATAAATAAAGACCAACAAGCGTAGTAATATAAATTGTAAATATACGATAACGATTTTAATATAAAATTCAGCTAAGTAATATTCAACTTGAATGAATGCTGATAATATTCAAATCATTGGAAAGCGTGCACTTTCTTTTCCGCATTTCGAATAATTCAACTGCAATACAGCTTCCGTTAAGATGTTAAATTGACGTATTATACATATATATAACAATTATTGGCATAGCAATATAGTTGTCCTCTCTCTCACGAACTTGTGAAAAATGGACTCCCTCCATTGACGAAAGAAATAATTTGCACTGACATTAAATTAATGAGAAAACATTCATGACCCTACTGCATGGCCGGGGCATTTGTGTCTACCGGGCGGGACAAAATCGGGATTGCCCAGACTAAATCGTGACGCATGGTATGCCCAGATATACACTAACCAAAACTTCCATAAACTGTTTGAATATTTCAAGAATCTAATATATTTTGCAATTTTTGAAGACCACACTTATCCAAAAATCCGAATTTACCGGAGTTTCACGAATACACACGAGAAGAGTAGGAGCTCAACTATTCATCGCAACGATTACTGAAACGACCTCGCTACAGATTTCCCTCCAACAAATTATCTTGCAATTTTAATCTTAGTAATAATTTTCTTGATTTATCAAAATGAAATTTGTACAAGTAAGAAAACTGTACACAGTACACCACACACAGATAGAAATAAAGGGAGAGAGATCTTTCAATCAAATGCAGAATTAGGAAAGTGTGTACTCAAGTAGCGATACAATATAATCCATAGAAAAGAAGTTCCAAAATAAGAAAACACAAAATGTCACAAGTAATTTTTACTAATTGCAGTTCAGATTGGCCAGAATTGTGAAGAGGTAACATACAGTTAAGTGGACATGGCGATAATGCAATGGTAAGATTACCTAAAATACATTCCTTAAAAAATACGCTTGTCACCTTTTTAAACTGTGAGATGGGGAATGCCGAGACTTCTTTTTCCTACGAGAATCACGATCTGATCTGTGTTTGTGACTTTTTCTAGATGAAGGACTGTCCCCATTTACATGGTTAAGTGGCAGGGTATTAGGTGAAACATCACCAGTAGAAAGCTTTCTTTTGTGCTTTTTGTTTGCACTATCTTGGCGACGACTACGAGAGCCGTCTCTGCTTTTATGTCCATCTCTTTCATCATGTCTCGGTTTGGAATGCCTGGATTTTCCTTCTTTTCTTCGCCTCCTCCTTCGTCTCTCTTCTTCTGAAAGCCTATTGCTATTCTGGTGAGAATATGATTTTGGTAACATATCAGAGGAACGACCCTTATTCCGCCCCTCACGTCTTTCAGGCGAACTGTAATAATATAAATACATTGAGATAAATACCAGACAATACACAATCTCAAGTTAAATTATTTGCTGTACCTATCTTCAGAAGATGAACTGGTACTAGAAGATTGCTTCCGAAGTTTACTGGAGCGATTAGTTGACGCAGATCTAGTACGAGACCTTTTAATTCCAGAATCATGACTCCTTCGTATCCTGCTGCTGGGGGAAAAGAAAAATTACAAAAAAAAGAATGAAACAACAACATAAGATAATGCAACCAACAATAATTTACTTACTCATCTCTATTTCTTTTCTTATCTCCATTTGCCACTACTGAATTACTTTGTTCACGATTAGTTGGAACTGTAGAAGATCGACCACTCTGTTGTTTTGAGTCCTTGGGAGTATCTGGGAAAGCAATTAGAGATTATACATCATTTAACAGAAAAATTAATGATTATGCTACTGCTACTATTATAACATGAAAATGATCGACTTGATTCAATATACTCAAAAAAACTCAATGCCAATGTGTAGTTATAAATATCTTTTAAAACTTATTACAATATAAATATTATTAATAATCTAGGACAAAATCCTTCACTTAAAAGTTGGTGTTCCAATGCTGATAAAACACTGTTAAGAAGAACCTAATACCAACAAAAAATATAATTTTTGATACTTGGTACAAAAACTTGGGTTTTTTAATGGATGATAAGATAATTGGTGAACATACTTGTGGCAGGGCTGGAGGGCCTTGAAGCTGGTGAGTTCGCTGCAGATTTGTTCACCCCTTCACCATATATGGCATCTTTTACTTTTTGTTTTTCCTTTTGCAAAACCTCTCTGCAGTCCTCAACCTTTTTCTCTAATACTTCATATGGTGTCTAAGAAAAGAAAAATTAAAACAAACACGATAGGCACTTTACAGGAACTCTTACAAAAATATATAAAATACCATTTTCAGAGATATCTTTCTTACTTTCATAGTCTGATATACGCATAGCAGTGTAACACAAATTTTCTGAATGTCCTCCTCAGTAGCATTGAATAAGTAAAACCAATGTGTTTTATTTGGCAGTGGAATCTAATAAACAACGACAGAAAATAAACGATTAGGAGAAAATAATTCAGAATATATTAAAAATCAAATTCCATTACTGTTTATGAACACGAGACCATAGCTTGAAGCGAAAATTAATGAAGAAATCTGATACTGTTTATAAGTATCAATCGAAGCATCGAATTTTTCAAATACCTTTCCGATGCTAAACGAAAACTGCTATTTATTACGATATTGAATGGGTTCAGATAATTAAAAAATTTAATGACCTGTAAGACACGGGCAGCCAGGTATATACAAGCACAAGCGATTGTTTCAGGATTATATTGCACAAATACTGTTGTTTGTAGAGAGTCATTCATGTAGTTCCTGTAAAACAAGTTCAGAACACACATATAATCTAAAATAAAAGAAAACCACCACCTGTTTTTTCCATTCATCTCAATCCAATGATAATATAATATTTCATTTGTCATACTGGTTTCACTGAGAACTCCTGCAATATAATTAGCAATAATATGACGATAATTCCATAACAAAATATTATATCTCCGCAATATGAATCACATCACTGATCAACATGTCTTGACTTATTTTTTGATTTAGTGGTTATTCCTCAGTGTTGCAAAATATAAATTCCATTTGTCCTTGATCTCTCCATCGCCACCGTTTGTCATTGAAACTTCTACTGCATGGCATGACCATCTGAAGATCACTTTATCAAGCAGTAAGGACATTAATATATTGTATTTTTTGTATTCATCATCCAAGTCGATATCCAACTTTTGAGTCAAGTCAATCTATCAGTCAAATATATTTCCAACATGTAGACTTCCACCTCTAATAAGTTTGATAGAAAATGCAAGCATTTGAATATGATTGTAGAACACCTTGGAAACTGAAGGCCTGAAAAACTACTAGAAGCAAGGAGTAAACATGTTAAAATTCAGTCAATGCTAAAATTTGGCAAATTCAGAATACACCATTTTGCAATATACAAGTTCAAATACAACAAATGCAAAGAAAAAACTGCAAGGAAAGAAAGTGAGACCACCAATTGACAGGCAAGTAGTTTTCCTCTCTCTCAACCTGAGTTTGGTTTGGCAGTTTTCGACATCTCTTGACGAAATTTCACCCGACGTAATAGAGACATTTTCTCGGGGTAGTTGTCCATCGGATCAGTTCGTAATCATGTCATGTGCCGACTACTTCACCAGGTGAGAGAAAGGCAGAATCGGCAAATAATAAATAAACAAACAAAGTTATGCACTGAAATAGATTGTTTATACCTACGTATATATTATATTATCACAAATGTAGAAAAACAAATGCTGAGTCTCAGTTAAACCAGCATGACAAATGGCTTGCGAAAGAAAAAAAATCGTAATCATTGGATGAGGTTACAGAGTTCTTAAA